CTTCTTTGGCTGGTTCTTCTCAGTCTCCTTCAGGAGTTCTACTTCCTTTCTCCAACCCCTCCACTCTGCTTCAGAACTCGAAATTTTTGCCTGTTCTTCTTCCTTTATACAGACCTTCTGGCTGAACGTACTTATGTATCATTTGGTTTTCAGTACACAAATATTTAATGAGTAGCTATTATTAGCCACGTTTTCTAAATAAGCACTGGGGATAAACAGAATCAGGGCTGACTGCTGGATTAATGGTCTGATTAGAAGAAATGTAAATGTACAGGGAGTTACAAAAGCATATAATGAGGTCTGGCGTGGTCAGTGTGATCAAGGAAGGCTTCTTTGAAGATGTGACCAATAAGTTGTGAACTAAAACTACTCAAGAAGAAGCTAGATAAAGTAGGACAGAAATAAATACTACAAAGAATGTGCAGATGTCCTTTGACAAGAGGAAACATGGTTATTCAAAACTCTGAAAAGCCATTGAGACTAAAACAAAAGAATGAGGAGAAACAAGTCAAGCTGGAGAGTAAGGCAAAGACTAAACCATTAAAGCCTTGCAGGGTGGTTTACAAATTTATAAAAAATTAATAATAAAAGCAAATCAAAAAAAGAAAAGAAAAACTTAAAACTTAAAGATAAGATGTAGAAATAAACTCTATAATATAGCTTAAAACTAAATAGAAAGGTTACTATGTAAAGTTGGGGACATTTTCCAAAAAATAAAGCAAAATAGAAAAAAAGTGAAAAGATTTTTCAAAATTAGACAATCAAAAGGAGTTCCATGGAGAACAGTGAAAATGACAGGAGAAAAATCTAAGATATTATTCAAGAAAAGATCTAAAAAGTGAAGGGCGTAAGTTTACAAACTACAAGGGATTTTTGAGTATTACGTACAATGGATGAAATGAAGCCCACGCCAAACAGTGTGGTTTGAAAATTTCACAACACTGTGGGGAAGAGATCATATACAAGACATTAAGCACTGAATTAACTTCAGATCCATCGCTAGCAACGTGAAATATGCACTAAAGCAGTACTTTCAAACTCTGAAGGACAATTTTTTCTAACCTCTCAAATGTGAGAGAATGAACATACTGATCAGACATACAGTACCTTAAGAAACATACGCTCCCTGAGAAAGCTATCAGAATATATGTTTCAGTAAAATGAGAAGTAAACCAGGGAAAAGAATGGTATACAAAAACATAAGGATACAGAACACAAGAAACATTATGGTAATTTCCAGAATGATGATGAAGTATTCTAAGACAACACTTGTGTACCACTCATGAAAGCTCATCAGTCCATGATGAATCAAAAAGCTCTGGACAAATATGGCTGAGTTAGAAAAACAACAATATGCGCAATATCTTTAAACTATAAAAGTTCTACAAGAGCTAAGCATTATGATGATAGTCCAAAGGGTAAAGTTGAAACTATTGAGCTGTCAAAATTTTTTCTGTTTTTCTATACAAAAGTGCATTATGACTTTTTTGACAACCCAATACTTGGTAGGTATTACACAGAGAACCATATTTTAGCTTAATACAAAGAAGAGGTTTGTAATGGTAAATGAAGTTTGAAATGAAATGGAATACTCTTGCAAATATTCAAACACAGAGCAAACAACAATTTAGTAGTGACTACAATTACAGGAGAATATAGGCTTCTAATGGGTAGTTGGGTTAGATGATTAAGGTATTAGGGGCTGACTCAGTGATACACAGTGGTAGTGAGCTGCTCAAGAGAAGCTGGATCCCACATGGCCACTGCAGTTCCGATTCCCTACCCAGTCAGCCTAAAACACAACAAGCGTGCATGCAAGTGCCCAACACCCAACTGGCTGAAGGACCGGAGGAAGAGGTCTGACGTGAATAGACTCTCTGTAGGGTGCTCACCTCTTTTTCTATTGCTTGCATCTGTATACATTTGTGCTCTATCATAAATAAGGGGAAAAACTTAAACATTATGTAATTTCTCTATCAATGCTATGCCAAAAAAGAAAGAAAAAGGAAGAGAGAAAATTTTAAAATACTCTTCTTAAAGCTAAGTTTGACTGTATTTGCTGTTTCTACTTATTAAACCACTTTAGAAGCTAAAATATCTAAAAGTGATTCTAGTAAAATCTTTTTGGAGCAAAGAATCTAAAAGTCAAGACAGACAATACAGGCATAAAAAATAAAAACATAAGCAAAAGGTTAGCATTCAGTATAAACCTGGATTAAAGAACATGAACTTGGGGCTGGCAGATGACCTGATGGTTAAGACACTGGACTCCCACATGGTTGACCATGGTTCAATCCCAGGACTGGTGGCCTGCTGTCTCACTTGCCCTCTGTCTCTCTCTCTGGTCAAATTAAAAAATAATAATAGATAAATAGAAAGAATATGAACTCCAAAGCCAGAATGCTAGGTTTAAATCTTCCCAGTTATATAAGTATTAGGTAATTTAACTTCTCTGAACCTTGATTTCCTCATCTGTAAAATGGGGATAACAGCACACCTACTTCACAAGATTATAGTGAAGATTAAATGATTTAACAGATGGAAAGGATTCAGAATAGTGCTTGCACATGGTAAATGCTTCATAAGTGTTAGATGTTGTTACTATGAAGTGGCAGGTAAAAATTACTCCTCTCACTATTTTTCTATCAGTTGAGCTAGCTAGCAAGCAAGTAGGCAAGCTATCTATCTGTCAAATAAATCAAGTTTTCCCATTGCCAGATAGTGCAAAAATTTTTTAAGAATTATTTTATACAACTTTATTTTTTCATTTATTTTAATTTTAATTTGACCAGAGAGGGACAGAGAGAGAGAGAAAGTGAAAAAAATAAGCTGCCAGGTCCAAGACTCAAACCACAGTCGGCCAAAAATGTACAAAAAAATTATACCTAAAAGGGCTCTAAACTCTGTCGCACCAATCTCAAATAAAAGGAAAAACAGAATACAAATACTATACTAAAAATTACATTCTTTTGGTACTAAATCCACAGGAAAGCGTGAATCCTGAGAGGTTGCCTGACTAAACAGTCTGTGAAAATGGAGCAGCCTGATTTCTTATCTGCTCTCATCTTTACCTACTCCAATTAAGTATCAGTTAATATGGATGTTAAATATTCATGATCAGTCTTAATTAAAAGAAACTAACCCTCTTGGTATCACTTGGTATTAATATTTTTTAAAAATATAGAAAGCTACAGTCCTCAGGACTGGCAGATGGCATGGTGGTTGCCATGGTCAACTGTGGTTCAAGTACCAGACCCGGAAGCTCTAAACTCACGCTGGGCACATATACGTGCGTGTCCAAAATCCTGAGAGGAGAATAGGGAAGAAGGGATTACAGTGTGGCCCTCCACCCTGGGAGTTGAGGTCTCACTTTCTGTCTCTGTTTCTCTCTCTGTATCTGGTGAGCACAAGTGCCCTATAGCAAAAAATCTGTCTCTTAAAAAAGAAGAAAGTATGGGACCAGCAGTTGGCATAATGGCTATATTGCTGGACTCCCATGTAGTTGACCGCAGTTCGAGTCCCAGACCCGGTTGCTTAAACTCATGCTGGGTGCGTGCGTTGTGTGCCCAAGATCCTGAGAGGAGAATGGATGGAGGAGGAAGGGATTATGTGGCCATCCCTCCCAGGGGGTGATTTCTCACTTTCTCTTTGTCTTTCTGGCGAGTGCACATGCTCTACAGCAAAAACCTCTCCCCACTCCCCCGCCCAAAAAAAAAAAAAAAAAGAAGAAAGCTATAGTCCTCAAGTTTAACACATTTTTTCTTTCTTTTTTTTGAGAGGTTTTCACTATAGGGCGCATGCGCTCACCAGCCAGAGAGACACATAGTGACAGAAAGCGAGACATCACCCCCCAGAGGGGATGGTCATGCCACAATCCCTTCTCTTCCATTCTCCTCTCGGGATCTTGGGCACACACGCACACGCACGTGGCGTGAGTTTTAAGCCACCGGGTCCGGGACGCAAACCAGGGTCGACTACATGGGAGTCCAGCAACATAGCCATTATGCTAACTGCTGGTTCCCAACACATTTTCTTCCTTATGCTATATTAGGATAAACACACACACACACACACACACAAAGGGAGTAAGTAAAGGATTGTGGAATACTAAAATACCTTACCTGAATGTTACTGCTTTCACAAGGAATGACACTGCTTTCAGCAAGAGGTGACATGCACATATGGGAGTTTTCAATACTGAAGGCAATTCCACTCACACAATCTGTTACAGGTAAACTCCCATTATCAACTGGCTCCTTACTCCAAGTATTCTCATCGGCTATCTCTATAGGATCGACCATATCCACAGTGTTATTCTCACTTTCGACATCCTGCAAAAGTGCTAATTCTTTCTCCAAAGCACTGGACTGGTTCTGTGAAATAGACATCGCAGTCACAACCACACGTGTGCCATGTTTAGAAGCATCACCATTCAACTGCCGCAGGGGTACTCCCACAACATCCACGGCTGGTGATGAGACATCTGTGGAAGGAATATTCTCTTTATCTTCTTCATCTTCACTGTGAGTCTCAAGAGTAAACGGGATTCGAAACAGCGAGGTTCGATATTGAGTACTACCTCTACACATCTCAAGTCTCATGGGAGACCAATTTTTAATTGGTGAGCAGCCATCTATATAAGGACTTCGGATACACGGATTGGTAATTCCATTATAATTTGTTCCAGATGAAGCATCAGGAGAATGAAAAGTAAACTTCCTTTGTTCTAGAAGATTGAGAAGGAATTACACCATAAAAATGTGAAAACAGGAAAAGTCATTACTAAATGATAATCATGTTTCATGCGAGTACAGCTGGATTTCTCTAACAGTTGAATTGTTTACTGAAGTGAAATTCTGGTGTTAAAAACAATAGCATAGGGGGCCAGCAGGTGGCATGATGGTTAAGGCATTGGATTCCCACAAGGCCGATCACAGTTCAAGTCCCAGACCAAGTGGCTTAAAAATCACAAGAAACAAATAGATAAATTAATTTGGAAAAAAAGAAAAGAAAAAACACAAATATATGTGTCTCATAAGCAGGGTGAGTCTCTTCAAAAATAATTTTTCTGGCATTTTGCCTTTTTTCAACGAAAATATTTTACTTTCTAAGAATTACTTCTCATAAGTGTACTACTATTATACCAATATTGTTCATCTATGAAGTTCTCTAGCAAATCAGCTGAAAGCTACAACTTTAACAGCTGTACCTGGAAAATGAAATATGTAAGGATATATTTGTGTTTAAGCAAAATACTAGAACATGAAAAGACCAACAAAAAAATTGGAAAATAATATTTGCAGTAATAAAAAGGCCTAGCAATGATAATCAAAATGATTAAAATGCTTTTAAATTAAAAACTTTTTATAACTTAAGTTTAATAAAATCAAAGTTTATAAAAATGGGCAAAAACACATAATCTTTCCAATGACAAATATGAAGTGCTGAGCTACAGAAATAATGGAAGATAAAACAATAAGAGAACATTCATTTAACAACACTGAACAATCCCCGCCCCAAGATACAAACAACCAATAAACATTTGGTAAGAGTTCAACATCTTCCATGACCGAAGATACAAAACTTAAAACAGTAATAGATCTTTTTGTAATGTACCACATTAGTAAAAATAATAATAATAATACCAGTTTTTCTGAGTGAGAAAAAACTATTTTCTTACACATTACTAATTAAAAGTTCAGTTGGTATAACCTTTATAAATCTGACAAAATTCGTCAAGAGCCTTAAAAACATCCATTCCCTTTGACTAAATAATTACACTTCTGAGAATTTAATCTAACAATATAAATATGTACAATACAATGTATACAAAAGGCTAATTATTAGTTTTGTGAAAAAGAAAAATTAGAAGTAATTTAAATGTTTATTAATGGTTAAAAACAAATAGTACATCTATAAAATATTATATAGCAATTCCAAATTACACTTTGAAACAATAATAAATGACTTGAACTGCCTATGAAAATACTATCCAAATTAACTGTATGTTCCACTGTACGAGGGGAACTATGTTGAAAATTCTAGTCGATGAAGGTAAATTATTCCTTTTATTAAAAAATCCAAGTGTCTAAATGTTAGAGGTTAGTGATAATTTAGAGTTCTATAGTTAGAAGTAAATGAAAAGAATCTCTTTAATAACAAATATTGACAGTATAACATTTTTAACTAGGTATTTTATTATTGGACATACCTGAGAGTGGTGTCTTTCTTATTTGAAAGGCAATTGGTGAGAAAGTAGGTGAAGAAATAGGTGGACTGGTTATGCTTCCCAAACTGTATTTTTTGGCACTACCCTGAATAGGGCTAGAAGAAAACTGTCCCTAAGATAAAAATAAATGAATTTATATGGTTCTCTTCAACTCTGTTATACTGCATGCTATCCCCCTTCATTTTCAAAATGTATTTGCAAACTAGAAATCATTATAAGAACCATCAAAAAAGCATCTTACAACAAAAACAACAAAGATTGGTACAAAAATTTTGAAATAGTATATGTCAGCCAAAATACAAATGCATTGTTCTTGAATACATCATTAAATTTTATATGAAGTAGCTATCTTTGAAAATTTTTTAAATAATTTACTCCATTAGTGCCAATCTAGTTGTGTTATACTGTCAATCTTATACAATTCAATCTATGTTGAGATTCCTTGAAACTTAGGAAAATTAGATCAACCTGTATACCTCTGAATACAAAATTCAAAGAGTCTGACCAAAAATATTCCAGTAACTAAAGACAATATAGAAAACAGGCTATAGTCTTTGGTAAGCACAATACCCAAAAAACAACCAACTATTCCTCTTGAGTGCAATATAACCATCTACATCCAAGTACATCTACAGCAAACCAACCAGCCACTTCTTACCGAACTTGGTGTCTGCACAGGGCTCCTACAACGTACAGGAGATAAATCTATTGAATAAAAAACCTCAAGTGATGCTTGAGCACCACCATGAGGACTTTGGGGAGAAGCTGGTGGTAAGGAGTCAGAGATACTTCCATTCCCATCTAAAAACAGCTTTCTTCTGAGGGATGAAGAACTGAGGTTTCCAGGAGACTGATCTGCAAATTCATCAGCTCTAAAATAGTCACCTATATTTAATGAGAACAGAATTACAAGATAAAGCTAGTCATTTAGAGGAGCAATTATACTTCTGTTGGCTGATTTTTTAAAATCCAATGTATACTATATTTACTTTTTTTTTTCCAAAAAAGAAGGCAAAGTTTAATTGCACATCAGATGTTTTAAATCTTAAACTAGCCCTTGTTTTTGAGTGCTTATTGTTACAATAGTATAGGCAACACCAATAAGATGTTTACAGTTTATGTCTATAGTAAAGTTCATTATGATAAAAAGGATAATTTAAACCATGTTTATTTAAGAAAAGGAGAAATTCTGCGACAGTTTCTCCACTTCTTTAGAAAGAGGATTTCCCTTATATTCCTATTTATATAGAGCCAACAACACAAAATTTCTGATTTACGCTCTTAAAGGTTTAGATAGAGATGATATTTACCTAATATATTTTCTAAATTAAAATCCACAGGAAGAGACAGCAATGTCTGACAAGCAACTGAAAATAATCAAATAAATAAATAAATATAACAGGGATAAATCAGCAAAAGCATATGACATGCATTTAGCACGCACCTCCCAAGCAGCCATCTCCCCATGTTCCAGCCAAACTGCATTATTCCATTTACGCATTCTATTCCACACTATGGACCTTCCCATAAGCAGTTTCCCACACCTTCCACCACTGGTGCAAACGTGTTAATGGTTAAAAGTTAACTCCTGGTTGTGGTGCTGGCACTTGGGTTGAATGTAAGCCAGGCTATATTTTGGGGTAGGTTTCCCACATTAACAAATTTTGAAAAGAATGCTTTCGAAAACCAGAAATCAATTCACACTTTAAACGAGAAAAGAACATGCTACTGCTATTTCTAATAGATGTGTCTGTGAAAGTAAGCTTTCACAGTTGCATAGTGCATTTATAAAACGTAAACAATTTCAAGTTCAGGCTAAGGTGTTACTACATGAACTGGGTTTAAAATCAAATGTAGCTCAATATGAAACAGTTCTTTTCCAATTGTGTTAATAATATACTCACCATTGCTTTTCTCAGAGTGAATGGTCAGCTTTCTTCTAATTGGAGAGTCACTATTTATGTTAATGCCTGTAAAATATTTTGAGGGAAAATTTTTGTGCTTTCTTTATTATTTAGCATTACTTTATTTAGCATTACTTTTTTCAGAGTAAAATATTCAAAGTAGAAACTTTTACTTTGCAACATTATAAAAATAAATATCTGCACATATTAAGTATTTATTTTGTCATATGTCTGTTGAATTTTTTTTAATTTTTATTTTGGGGAAGTACAAGGATAAATCTACAGAATTACCATGGAAGTAGGGAGGTACCAAGAAATACCTTTCTTTTCATTGGAAAAAAAAGACAGTCTATGTATAGATTTATGAGATTCAATGTGGTGTTATCAATATATGTTTACATGGTGGAATGAGCAAATCAGCCTAATTTATGTATTTATGACCTCTTACACTTACTTCTCTGTGACAATATCACCTAAAATCCACGGATTAATTCTGAAACATACCTTTTTATTAAACATAGTCACTAGAACTTCTTCCTCCTGCTTAGCTAAAACTGTGTACCCTTTAACCAATATCTCCCCAATCCTCTCACCCTGCCAGCCTCTGGTAACCACCATTCTACTCTCTATGAGTTTGACCTTTTTTTCACTTCCTCATATAAAGGAGATCACGGAGCATCTATCTTTCTGTGTTGACTTATTTTTCTTTTTACCATAATATCCTCTAGATACATCCATATTGTCCCAATGACAGAATTTCCTTCTTTTCAAAGAATAAATTATACATATATTAGGTCATCAGGAAAATCATGACGTTTTTTCTATGCAAAAATGCGTCATGACTTTCCAAATGACCCATATATATACTGTTTTATTTTATTAAGCCATTCATGTGCTGATGGACACTGAAGTTGATTTTGATTCTGTATTCTGGCTATTGTAAATAATACTGCAATGAGTATGAGAATGCAGACATCTCTTCAACATACTGATTTCATTTCCTTTGGATATCTACCCAGAAGTGGAATTTCTAATTCTCAATTTATATTATTCCTTCCCCTCCCCCTTCTTCTTTCTTTCTCCTTTTTTTTAGTTTTTTTTTTTTTAAATAGAACACATGTGCTCACCAGAGACAGAGAGGAAGAGTGAGAAATCACTTCTTAGGAGGATGGCCATACCACAATCTCTTCTCCTCCATTCTCCTCTTGAGATTTTGAGCACACACGCACACATGCCTAGCATGTTTGTCGGGCTGCAGGGTCCAGGACTCTATGTACAGAGCTGGCCACGTGGTATACAGCATCTTAACCCCCACTGCTGGTCCCTTCTATTCTTTTAATTTGCCAAAGGGTGTGTGTGCATGCCAGAGAGAGATAGGCAGAGAGCGGGGAGCAGTAGAGAAAGAACGTACCCCTTGATCCCTTCTTCTTTCTCCACCCTCTCAGGAGTTTAGGCACACACACACACACACACACACACACAAACACACACACACACACACACGCCCAGTTTGTTTCTCAAACTTCTGGATCTAGGATTTGAACTGCTTGGTTGGCCACGTGAGAACTGGTTCCCTTAGCTACCATGCCACAAGACCAGCCCCACCAAATTACACTTAAGGAAAGGATGGTTACTCTCCATGATATCAACTTCAAATGGTTAGAGGTATATTTTTGCTATCACTTTAACTTTTATTTATCTGCTAGAGGGTTTACTTGCTTACTGGAGAAAGACAGAGAAAGAGGAACAAACAGGGAAAGTGAGAACACATCCTCCACTGGGGGAATGGTCATGCCACAATCCGTTCCCCTCCATTTCACCCTCCATTCAAAATTCTGAGCATGTGTGAACGTATTCCTGGTGAGTTTTTCAAGCCACTGGATCCTGGACTTGAACTGTACAATCATGTGGGATCCACCCACCTTAATCACCATTCCAATAGCTGGTTCCATTTAGTCATGTTTAAGGTCCTCCAACAGACACTCTGTCACTAAGTTTTCCCAAAACGGGTTTAGATAAACTAGATTAAAATGCTAAGTTATCCTGATAAAACCAAATCCTATCAATAAAATCATGCGTGTCTGTTCTTTTATAAGAGTAAAAAAAAGAAAGGTGCCATTTATTTTTAATCTGAAGTTTTATCACTTGAAAATCACCTGATTTTAAGAAGTTTAAAAATACAAGAAATGACAACATTTTGCAATATAAACAAAATAAAAGGGAGGAAACAGCAAGTAGACAAAACACCAGAAAGCTTAAAATGGCAGAATAGAATCTGTTAACTTAACGATCCTGAATAAATAGGTGACTGAGTAAGTGAATGGGTGAATGACTTAAAAGACCCATTAAATACTATCAAACTGGGTAAAGAGATTAAAAAAAAAATTCTGTATTCACATGCCTTCTTCATTGATGGTAGGGTGACCTTCTCTATAAATGCAACCAAGGCCTCCTTTGCCTAAAACCCCGTAATGGTCTTTAGGATGAAGTACAAACATCTTAATGGCTTATAAGGTCCTTGTCTTATTTCTTTAACAGGCTTTTCATCTAAACATTTTCTATTTGAGTGTCTTAAAAAAAAAGTTGTCTTTCTCACCTCTAAGTTTTGCATTTTATCTTCTCTGCTTCTTCTTTACCCTTCCCTAAGTCTGGCTAACTCAAGTCTCAAATTGTATCTCCTATGAACATGCCTTCCTTGCCCTCCTTTCATCAGACACCCATAGCAACATTATCACAACTCTATTGAAAATACTGGGTTGTTGAAAAAGTTGTGATGTTTTTTTCTATGGTATTCTTTGCAAAAATGTATCATGACTTTTTATGACAACCCAGTTATTTTCTGGGTTATTTCCCCTAGAAGGATTTCTTAAGCAAGTTGAAGAACACAATAAATCGAAGGGGAAAAAAATGGATGGATCTGATTACACTAATATTAAGAATTTCTATGCAACCAAGGACATCAATAACAAACCTAACATACATACAACAGAGTAGGAGATATTTGAAATTTTAAAAACAAATATTAACTATATGCAGGATATAAGGTATCTTAGAAATGAATGGGAAAGGGGACCAGTAGATAATGGTTACATCACTGGACTCTCATATAGTTGATCGTAGTTTGAGTCCTGGATCCTACTCATGCCAGGCACAGGTGCGCACGTGCCCCAAACCCCAAAATCCAGAGAGGAGACTGGAGGAGAAGGAATTAGGTCGTGGACATTTCCCCTGGGGGTGATTTCTCACATTCTGTCTCTCTATCTCTCCAACAAGCACATGCACCCTATTGCAATACTCTTTCTAAAAAAAATAGAAGAAATTAATGGGGAAAATAAAGGATAGCACTTCAATAGAAATATGACAAATGCACAAAGACGCATTTTCCAGAAGAGAAAATGAAAAATGCCATTAGTACATGAAGTTGAACAAAAACCAAATCAATCATTTAAAATTTCAAACAATCTATAAAAAAAGGCAAAAATCTGAAAGTCACATAATGCCAAGTATTGGTGCAAGGATGCTAGGACAGGAACCCAAGGAAATGTTGGTGGCTGTGCAAACGTTCTGGAGAGCAATCTAGCATCACATAGCCAAATTCTGTAAGCATGTATCTTGTAAATTCGGAAATCTTCTGCTTATGTTGATATACCAAAGAAATTCTCACTCAAGACCATGAATAAAAACATACAAGGATATGCAGTGAGGTACCTTGCTGCATAAGTATCTGTAGTGGTAAAAGTTAATAGCAAAAGCTTATGTGTATAAACAAAACCACTGTTTCCCCCCCCCCGCCCCCACACACACACACTTTTCCTTGTTAATCTTAGATATATAATACGGAGCCCTTGTTATCTTAGAGGTATCACGACAGTCATCATTTAACATATAAGGAAGCTGAAGCACAGAATAATGGTGACTTGCCAGAAATAATAGCTAGTGAGCTATTCAGGGTATAATTCAAACCCAGACAACGGTATTCTAAAAAAAATTTTTTAGAAAAGAAAACAAAACTGAGGTCCTAAGAGATTAAATAATTTGATCCAGATCTTCTCTGTTTTATAGTAGCAAGTTTACAAGTCTCCATCCACTATAGTGGATCACCCTTACTTTGTAATAGCTGAAAATACAGAATCTGATCCAATCGAATCCAGGTTCTACAGCTTTTAGTGTCTCTGTAACCCTAGACAAGGCTTAGTTTTTCAAAAGTAGGTTTTCTCATCTTTAAAATAGGGCCTAACTGCATCTACCTCATACAAGTTGTTGTAAGGAATTACTAGATGCACTTAGAACTATGCTGATACAGAGAAAATGCTCAATCCATTTTTCCTATTATTTTGCTTTTGACGAAGACTAGAACAAATATGTTCTCTTTAACTGAGAGCATAATTAAGGTATGGTATAGAGAAGAGTGGGTAATTACATTTCAATAAAGGACACATATATACACATAACATTTGAACACCGCTCACAACCCAAGGGCAGTGAGAGCAGAAACGAGACAACTATTGCATGGAGGTAGAACGGTATCTGAAAGGTCACTGGCTTGAGCTTTAATTTCCTTATTGATTTTTGGGCTAGGCAGTGGCATGGTGGTTAAGGCAGCTAGAACCCACCTGAACACCAATGGCATGGTTTGAGTCCTGGACCTAGATGCTTGGAAAACATTCCAGACACATGTGTATGCATACCCAAAATTCTGAGAGGAGAATGGAGAAGAAGGGATTGTGGCCTGGTCATTCCCCCTAGTGGGGATGATAGTTCACTTCCCTCTCTCTCTGGCAAGCATATGCACCCTATAGGAAAATCTAAAAACAAACAAACAAACAAACAAAAAATCTGTTTATGAATTTTGGAGGTAATCAGCTATATATAATACACTGTCCCAAGGTCACATAAGTCTCCACCATTCCTCTACCTTTACAAGAAATCAGCAAATTAGCAAAAAGCAAAGGATTTTATTTAAAATATTAAACCTCAAGATTATTACTGAAGTCATTAACAGCACAGTTCTAGATTCGGTAACAACTATTTTTTCATCTACTGATCATCATTATAACTGATACTCACAATGATCATAAAGGAAAAGTTAAATTCAGAATAGAACAGCCAAAAAAAGAATAGAGTACATTTTAGTCAAAGTTTTAATCCTAACTCTAAAGAGTTAAATCCTCTGATATACAGAAACTCAAATTCCTCGCTAAAGCAGATATGCTGACATTTTTTATAGCTATTTTCCATTCACTGATTTTTATACGTATAATTTTTAGTACACTCACATTTACTAGAATGATACTCTGGAAGTTGTTTCCCTTCATGATCTGTCCAAGGAGAGGGTACGATGACATCTTTAGTAAAAAACTAGAAAAATTAAAGTTATACAAAATATGAGAAGGCACCTGTATTATTTTCGAATAACCATTAAACATGTCATATACTGACTTTACATTCAGATTTACAATCTTCCATACTTCAAAGCAAATGGCTAAAGGAAGAAAAAATTTAAAGTATATATAAAGAGAAATCTTTTTTTCTAATTTTCAGATTAATTTCACATATTAGATAGCCCCCATCATGATGTATAAAATACGTATTTTTTAAAGAGGACTTTACATATTTTTGTCTTCTAAATGTTTCTTCTCTCTGCACCTCACACACACCCTCTACCACCCACTCCCTTCCCTTACAGTCTCTCATATCCATATTCATCTTCTCTGCTATCACACCTCCAGATTTCTCAATTCTGCATAAGATGCAGATATTCAGTACATACTAAATAGGGAAATAGTGTATATCTTTCAAAGTCTAGCTTTCTTTACTGAACATTAAGATTTTTATATTAACCCAATTTAAATCAAACAATAGGGTCTCATTGTTTCTTACAGCTCAGTAATATTCCATACAGTATTCTATATGTACTATGTACATAAAAAGAAATCATTATACTTCAAACAAACCACTTAGATTCATAACTTGCAAATTAATCTGAAGGCTTTAATCACACAGAAAATACCTTAAATTTCTCCCTTAGTTGTTTTTTTTTTTTTTTTTTGCAGGTGTTGACAGTGACAAAAGGAAAGAGGAAAAGGGGAAAGAATAAACAGAGACATAGCCAGGATGGATGGTATGCCAGAAGCTTCTTTGAACTGGCTCTCAAGATGTGACTAGTCTCAGAAATCGTGTTCACCAGTTGTTAAACAAAGTCATTATTAAGAATAAAATTATGTAAATTTATAACTAAATATTAAAAATAAAGGTAACAAATATTCAATACTTACTATATCCTAATTATCTTGCCACATGTGCCAATATCTATTATACGTCCTGGAGTGAATTTTGTCTTCTCTATCTGTGTGATGGAATTCCTACATCTAACAGTATGCCATCACAATTCTTGTCCCATTCAGTGGTACCACAAATTGAAATTGGTCATGATTGGAACTGACCCCTGAACAGCATGGGTTTGAACTACACATGTGTATTTATACATGGATTTTGTTCAATAAACTTATTGAAAAATATCATTTAGTACTGTAAATATATTTTTTCTTTCTTATGAATTGTTAGTCATATTTTCATTTTTCTACTTTACTGAAAGAATATATAGTATACAATACATATATAAAATAGATGTTATTCAGCTGTTTATATTATTCGTCAGGCTTCTGGTCAATAGACTATTAGTTAAGTTTGGGGGAAGGCAAAAGTTATAATAAATTTTCAACTGCACAGAGGGTGGCATCTCTAACCCACACATTGGTCAAGAGTCAACTACTTTTATAACTAGAGTAAGCAATCACTATAAATGGTACTCTTTCTACAACCATAGAGACAGTTGTTAAAACATTTACTAACACACCACTGGCCACTATACTCAAATAGAGATAGAACTTTGGATACATTTCTTTTTTCTTCCATTCTTAATACATTATTTTTCCCTCCCTTATATTTTAAGAAAAAATCAAAACATTTTCTTTATATTTTGCTATACATGTGACAAAGAGATAATTTCCTTAACTAAACTACTTATGAATCCATGAAAAGAGGCCCAAAAAAGAGTAAGGCCAGATTATGGCACAGAAAAGTCTCAGAGAGGAAAAAAAAATAGTAAAAGTAGCAGAAATTAAGAAGTTTGATAATAATCAGTATTAAAGATATGAAACAGGTAGTATCTTAATGTAACCAGGAATATAAATTGGTACACTTTCTTAAAAGGGCAAAACAGTAAAATCTCCCCAAACCAAAACTCTACAAAGCCTCTGATTTAGCAATTCCATTTTAAGTATACAAAAACATGTACAAACCATCACATGATCTGTGATAGGAAAACAAGGAACACCATTTAAACATGTCAAAAAAGGGACTAGATTACTTGCAGTTACAAAAAAAAAAAAAAAAAGAATATGCTGATCATCAAAAAAGATATTAAAAAATTATAGAAAAAAGATGCAAAACAGTATGAGAATGATGACCCTATGTCTAAAATATGTAAGAGATACATATACAATTATATACGTAAATTAATCTGAAATAATAAGAAATGTTACTGTAATTGGGCAAGCAAATTGGTATGGTGGTTAAGGCAGCTGAACCCCACATAGCTGACGGAGTGGTTCGAGTCCTGGACCTGGCAGCTTGAAAAACATGCTGCATGCTTGTGCATGCATGCCCAAAATCCCAGTAAGAGTGGAAGAGAAGGAACTGCATTGTGGTCATCCCCACTTGGAGGGTGCTTTCTCACTCTCCCCACCCCTGTCTCTCTCCAGTGAGTACATGTGCCCTAAAGCAATTAAAAAAAAAAATTTACAATAGTTATTTCAAGAAGTGGGATGGAGAAACAGGAGGCTCTTTATTTTCATTTTATAGCATTTCTTTGCATTTAGATTTTTTATTGTTTTTACTATGAGTATGTATTTATTTTAAAACTACTAAGTCATTGGAAAAGTCATGACACATTTTTGCATAGGTAAGCATGAAAAAATATATCATGACTTTCCCGATGACCTAATATATCTAAAAAGAAAAAATACTTGTTTCTAATTCATTAAATCTGGCTTTCTTTTCTTAAGTTTTACCTGCTGAATTTCCCTTTAAAGTTGAGGTTTCTAAAGAAGGAACAGATTTTCTAAAATGTTAGGAAATTGGAATTCTTAGTATCCAGCTGAGGAGGAGTTAAGTTATATCAGAATGAAAACTGTGAAGTTACTAGACAGATTAAGAAACAGGTATTGCTTTCCTGGAGTAAATACATGAAAATGTTTTCTAAAAATAGAATATATCTGAAAAATAATGTGACAACTACCTACACTGGAGAAGTAAGCAAAGAAGAGATCAGTGCATCTCTGGATGTGCCATAACTAGTTTTTCAGAATACAGAAAAGTCAAGTATAGCTAAAGAGTAAAGAGGTGGGCAGAGGGGGTTAGAGAGCGGTAAAGAGAAAAAGCAGAAATGTTACCATGACATAAAGACTTCCCAAGGGAAGAATTAAGTGGATAGCCCTTATTTAGACTCTAAGAGGAGTACAGTGAACAAAAAAGCAAACAGAGAACAACTTAGTTCATTATTTTTATTACAAAAATACACCTACATTTGTGATATACTTCCACTGTTGCAATAAGACATTTTATCTCATAAAATATATTTTATGTCTTCAAAATCCATACTCACAACAATGAAAGTTGAAACTGACCAACGGCAGACTAGAGTTTGAAGTTCTGAAAACATTCAACTTCCTCTAGATAAATGTGAAACCGAATAATCACTATTCTGAAGGCGCAAGGAAGACAAACTGTACTAGGACTTGAGTATGAAAAGATGAATGAAGGACAATATTGGCCAAAAAAGAATTCCACCTAGGGAGGAGAAGCACTAAGCTAATCATTACAATAGTATTTAAGTACTATAAGAAGTACTAGGACAGCAGAAATTTACCAATTTTACACAAGCACAGAAGAGTGTGCAATAACTACTGGCAAAGGGGGAGAGCTGGTGGAGAGCTAGGACAGTGAAGGATTTGAAGAAAGTCTTCCTGAAAGTGGTGATATACATGCAGAATTAATTCTTAACTGGCTTAATGATCAGTAACAGTTTTAAGTTACCTCTTCAATGGCTTTTTGTCTTTTGTCTTCCACATCTTTATCTATTCTACACAGAGATAAAGAAGAAAAATAACCATGCTATTATTTCAGCTTATTGAACATTTAAAACAATAATCTTTCAAAGAAATAATTTCCTTCCATTGAAAAGTAGCAAATGTAAAACTCACTTTAAAAGAAAAATCGGTATCATAACATCCAGTAAATGGCAGAACTATCTGAAATTTAGCATTTAGCTATTAGGCTTACCTCCTTCCTTTTAATTCAGAGTTTGAATGGAATAATATTTTCTCTTAAAAGGCTTACACTGATACATTTTTTTTAGATTAATATAGCAACAAAGTAATCTGAATAAGCTTGTCCTTTCAGAAATACTCCATTCAATAGAAATCTAAATACTGTCCAGATTCTTTCTCTTCAATTTTAGCAAGTCTGTCAGCACTAGGTTTAGAATCTACTCTTACTCTGACCAAGAAAAGAAACTATACTTACATTTATAAATAAACAGGCAAAAATAGTAATTCTGAAATAAAACACCGACATAAAATTCTGCCCAGAACGATTTTTGTTTCGCGCTGATACATTTCACAATTATAACACAAATTTCTCGGCTACAAGGTCTAATGTAAAATGTCGGGCCTCAAGCACAAGGCGTACACTTGCCAAGGACCAAGCAGCTAGCCTTGTAGGACCACTTTGTTATTCGGTTCCAGAAAAGACTGCTTGCTTTCAATTACTAAATAGGTGAAATACTTTTTGTACAATTTAAAACTATTTTCTCTCAGAAAATGTTTGTGTATATATTTGTCTAGGACTTAAAAAGTTCACAAGAAAATGTACACGTTTCAAAAATGTTAATGTGGATTTTTCAAGGGAATTGTGAGAAAATAAACTACAGTGAAAATCCACACAGCCCAGCTTGAACAGCCATTTTGATGACAACTCAGTCTTCACCTTATCATAGTCAGCTAGATAAAAATGACAGTGCATAGTATTCTCATAGAGTGAGTGCTGAATTATCATTACTGCATTCAGAAACCTTTTGTTGCTTCATCAAAGAGACTTCAAGAACTTGAAATATTCAGGTGATTTCTGGAAGCACTAACTATCAGCATGGCCAGATCATGGATGGTTCTGAGAAACCATGGAGGGCAAAGTATCCTAACCAGCATACCACTGAACACTGTATGATGTATACAGGTAACGAACATGCCCTGAACTGTGATCTCCTCAGGGAGGAAAGGTGACCTCAGGATTGGTCACCTTCTGTGTGGACAAGACTCAGTTGTTTATACCAATATGCCTTACAATCATCATTTTTTGCATGAGCAGTGTAATGAAAAGGGAAGAACTAAAGTAGTAAGCTTTGAATAGGAAAGAAGAACTATCAGAATCCACTGCTTTTAAGAAAGAAACAACATGCTCTGTTAAGAGTATATTCATGAGGCCAGCAGGTGGCTTGGTGATTAAAGCATTGGATTCCCAATGGATTCCCAATTGGTCCTGGCCTGCTTTTTTACTTTCTCTCTCTCTCTCTCTCTCTCTCTCTCTCTCTCTCTCTCTCTCACATGCCCAACAGCAAATAAATAAATAAAATTAAATAATTCTTAAAAAAAAAGAATAGGGACAGTCAGTGTGGTGAATCATGGTGCTGGACTCCAACATGGTTGACCATAGTTCGCATCCTGGACTTGGTAGCTTGCTCGCTCTCTCTCTTTCTGTCCCTCTCTGGTCAAATTAAAATAAATAAAGTTGAATAAAATGATTCTTTAAAAAAAAAAAAAAAAAAGAATGCACTCACTCTTCTTGGTAGAAACATTACAATTTACTGAATTATATTAGGGTTCTTTCCTTCCCCTCTTTTTCCCTCTCCTGTATCACAAATCCATCTACTGAAATGTATCATGATTCTCTTTATAAATCTACCCAGATAATATATCATTTATTAATAAAGAAATGTGTTGCAACTTTGGTCTAACTGTATTGTTGACTCCTGAATACAGAAATATCATGTACCTCTTCATTGTTTCTCACAATGCCTCACAGTACTGAGTAAATATCTCTTGTCTGATAGACTGTCCATGAATTAATAAATTGGTGAGACAAGGCAAAAAGATAAATAAGTACACAGTTCGTGTAAAACAAAAAATTAATCACTAACTATGACTCATTTGCTTTCAGATATAATTTTTTTACCTCTCTTTCAAAGGTATTACTTACATTAAAATTGTTGTATGCTTTATCCCCATTCTTTTCCCTTCCCACAGCACTCTGGATAGACAATTATGAGTGAATGGTCATCAAGTTACCAAGTAAAGAAAGGATGAAGAAGCAAAGACAAGGATATTCAAGAGTATCTCAACATGTGTGTATCTGTGTGTGATTGTATTCTAAGACAAAGGGAAAAGGATTATCCATTCTTTTGAACTGACAGAAAATTAAAAGCTGGTTATACCAGGCCAGCAAGTGGTGTGGTGGTTAAGGCTCTGGATCTCACATGGCTGACTCTACGGTTTGAGTCGTAGACCAGGCAGCCTGAAAATCACACCAAGTAGGAGTGTGAGCATGTTCAAAGTCCCAGGAGGAGAATGAAGGAGAATGGACTGTGGTGTGACCAACTCCTCTGGGAGGTACCTTCTCACTTTCCCTTTCTCTCTCTGATGAGTGCACATGCCCTAGGGCAAAACAAAAACAAAAACACACCCATGAAAATGTAAATAAAATTTTAAAAAAATAATAAAAGCTGATTATAACTATGTATTTTATTTTTAAAAAGACTATAAAGTTGATAAGTCCCTCAGATTGCAAAAGAATAGTACCACCTTACAATTTGCAATAGAAGTACATGTTCTTGCCACATTAAGCATCATTAAACAGCACAAGTCTGACACACATTAGTGCTTGAAACCTATACAATACATCAACAAGAAGTTAAGGCTGCTGTGAATATTATCCAGAATTCAGGAACATGTGATTCAGATCCCCCAAGTGAACTATGATGCCCTTCAATCTGATGCTTCTTAACTTCTTGAGGAGATTTTAGGCTTTTCCAAACTGAGACAGCAACGAAACCAACAGTCAAAACCAAACAAAAGAAGTTAATGGCAGAGGACACAACCATGTAACAAAACGCAAATTTCAAAATGTCCTTCCCTCTACCAAGTGCAGGCAAGAAGAGGAGAGATGATGGCGACTGCCCCTTAGTAGCAGAGAGAGAAGGTTATCTGAAAATAAAAGGACTCCTGCTCAGATTGGAACTGTTAGCAAGGGAATCTTTCTGGATGTAGTTCTTTCAACCAACCACATGGCATCAAACTTTTTTTCTCCCTGATAATAAATATAAAATTTTTAAAAAAGGAATCTTCTCACTGGACTCCCATGTAGTCAACTGCAGTTCAAGTCCCAGACCTGATAGCTTAAACTCATGTCGGGCACATGTGCATGCATGCCCAAGATCCCAAAAGGAGAATGGAGGAGAAGGGACTGCGGTATGGCCATCCTCCCTGGGGAGTGATTTCTTACTGTCTGTCTCTCTGTCTCTTTTTCTGGTGAGCACACGCACCCTACAGCAAAAACCTCTCGAAAGAAAATTCTTTCCCTTTTATGATTATGTTTTTTAGAATAATTTAGTTTTATCTGTTGTTAGTATTATTATTTTTAATTTGACCAGATTAAGGCAGAGAGAGAGAAAGACAGAGAGAGAGAAAAGGAAAGTGAGATAGCAAGCCACCAGGTCTGGGACTCGAATTCTGGTCCACCATGTGGAAATCCAGTACCTTCATCACCTTGCCACCTGCCAGCCCCATATAAAATTATTTGACCTTTAGATTTCCAATCTCTCATCACCTGAGAGTATGTTATCACACTTAGGTATAAAATAGGAAAACTTACCGAGAATGACTTAAGTATAAAGCTTGACGATGAATATCTTCTGGGTCTATTTCTACAGGATTTATTACAGCTAGTTGATCTATAGACCACCTAAATTCCCCCGGAGTCTTAAAAAAAGAAAGTGAATTTATAAGTAAAAGCAAGCTAAAATAGTTCATCAAAACAGTAAGCAATGTCACCTTCAAAAATGTAGTGAGTGGTCATATAGAAATATTTGAAAGCTTAAATTTTAAAATTTTATTCAGCACTAAATTAAAATGGCAAATGGTAATCAAATCACAGTAAATCAACTGACATGACTACCTCTTTTTAAATATCAAAATATTTCACTTAGTGGTTTTAAAAATTACATGAGAAAAATCACAATAAATAAAGAAACTCTAAAATTAACACTCATTGGTGATACATAATTCCCATGTAAAGTTGATAACTATTGGAGTTATCAAAGCTCTTTGCTTTCACTAAGAGTGAACTAAAACAAAGTCCTAACTACAGAACTGGCTGCAAAAGGTCATGCAAGAATTTAGGACCAGCAGTTAGCATAATGGCTATGTCGCTGGACTCCCATGTAGTCGACCGTGGTTCGAGTCCTGGACCTGGTGGCTTAAACTCACGCCGGGCATGTGTGTATGTGTGCACCCAAGATCCCAAGAGGAGAATAGAGGAGAAGGGGTTGTGGCGTGGCCATCCCCCCGGGGGGGTGACTTCTCGATTTCTCGCTTTCTGTCTCTCTGTCTCTCTCTATCTTTCTAGTGAGCGCACGTGTCCTATAGCAAAAAAAAAAAAAAAAAAAAAAAGAAAAAAACCTCTCCCC